CCCGAACGGATAAAGTAACCCGCCCCCCCCCCCCCCCCCCCCATAATAGAAGCTCCCAGGGGGCTTCTATTATGTCCTAAAATTTTTCAAAAGTTTTAGAAGAAAAACTATGTGTTTAGGAAAAATAACTTTAAAAATAATAATAATGCTTTTAATTTACAGCAGTCGACAATGTTATTGTTCAAATTTAATATAAAAAGCAAAAATTTTCTTTTCATTTCATTTTATACCGATGTTTTTATGTATATAGCTTCATTACCGAAATAGAGAATGAGATTTTTGAAAAAATAGAAAATTTTACATAGAAACAATAATATGAACATAAAGAAAAACGAAACACATTTGTTTATCGTCCTTCCTATTTTATAGAGGTGTTTATAATTAAGTTCTATTTATAAATGCCTCTCTTTCTTCTCTTTGGCGTGGTACACAATACACCACGATAAGGAATTAATTCAACCTGAATTAAATAACGTGATAGATGCATTAAGAATTAAATTTTATTCTCGAGATGACGTAAATGTTAATGCTCTACTTTCGTTGCGTAATTCAAATAATTTTCGTCTAGTGTGTACAAGGCTTCTGTTCTTATTGTGTTTTATGTAAAATTATTGATTGCTGTAACCATCTCAGGGTATATCTCAGTAATAAAAAGTAGTACAATAGAACCTCCATATAAAATAGAATAAAGCAAAAAATTTGAAAAAAATAATTTGTTTCTTCTTATAAAATCTAATTCATAATGTGATATACACCTGTTTAATCATTATTATTATTATTAGATGAAAAAATTTCAAAAGTCCTTCGATATTTTCAGAATTTTAAAGAGCCGCACCAACGAGTTTCGAGGAGATGGTAAGATTTTTGGGTAATAAATAAGAAAATAAAGCATATCATTACATTAAGATCTTAACTCTTACAAATTTTATAATGAAAATTAAAAAACAAATTTTTCGGAAAATTTTGAAAATACGGGGGCTTCTATTATGGGGAGGGATTTATCATTTTTCTAATATTCCCTTCGAGCACGAAACAAAACAGCCCTGAGAGTTCAATACCATCAGCAAACCACACAGCATGCAATATCTTTATATTCAATTAAATAGATAGATTTTCTTCTATAGGTACAGTATCTTTTCAATACCATAAAAAAGTTAGATACAGGAAAACGATTAAAACTGCTCAATTTATGTTATCGCTTTCCATAATGCTATAAAACGGTATTTATGAATTTTAATGGGAATAACCGAATGCAGGCATGAAAAATACGTAGACAGAAAATACTTTCTTTTTAGACATATTCATTGAAGAAACTGTCTTTTATGAATATCTTAGGCTTTCAAAGTTTTGAATTTATATATTATGTACCAAATATCTATGCGAAGCGATGCTTCAAGGTCATCGTGTTTTGTTTCCTGTTGACTATTTCGTATAGAAATGTCATGACAATAAGATAGCCTAAGCAATAGATGGCAACTATCCAAGGGGGTGGGGNCCCCCCCCCCCCCCCCCCCCCCCCCCCCCCCCCCCCCCCCCCCCCCCCCCCCCCCCCCCCCCCCCCCCCCCCCCCCCGCCACTTCCATACTTCACGTACTCTCATCGTACTTCCCTGTACTCCCATCGTACTTCGAACTACGGAAGTCGCGCCTTTTCCCTCTTGATTTCTATCTGTGTAAGAAGTCACCCTCTATTATCGTCAATTAATTGGCAGATTAAACAATGATTCGAATAAATTGATTTTGTTTTCGTATGTGAACAGAGAATAAACTGATAATTATGTTTTATTAACTATGATAATGATTTCCCGTGTAAAGCATAGGTAAGAAGTAGAAATTTTCTATGAAAAAACCAGAAAAAAGAGAATATTATTTCAGGCAGGCGTTCTTTTAATTTTACAATCTGTTTTTTTTTGTTTACAATAACGAATTCACAATTTTAATTGCACAACTAATAAAGAATTTTCTTTTTTTTTAAATTTCACAATCGTATTCATTGTATAGTACAAATCGATGTCCGCGTGGTGCCTGCTGATCGTGGCGATTTAATAGGTGCTGGTGCATTACTTTGTTCTTGCCGAGTGATTGGTGCTGTTATTATACGTGATGCATCAGAATCATGCTTAGGCAAAACGATATGCATTAAATGAGCTGAAACTTGACGAAATAAATTTTCTACAGATTCACCGGTTTTAGCTGACACGAAATATGATAGCATATCGCGTTCTTTAGCAAAACGTTGATGTCGTTCAAGTTTTACGGCACGTAAATGTTCAAGATCGCCTAAATTTAGAAGAACAAAATTGAGTAGAATTATTTCTATGAAGCATATGATTTTGAAAGCTCTTTTTGCAAGACTGAGTATTCAATTACGTATCCGGGAGATTTTTTTACTGAATAAGACGGTGTTTTTTATTTTTATGAAATATTTTCCACGCAGTTCATTTAGTGTATAGTTTTAACACGAATGCGTTTTTCCTTAGTTCTGTTTTGTTGAATATTTAATTTGAAGAAAAAAAGAGCTCAGCAAAATTATGCATATATTAGAATAAATTAAATCTAATGAAATTCTATTTTAAAATGCAAAAAAATCTCATATATCTTTCAATGTACTACTGCACACGAAGCAGGATGAAATTGAAATAATAAGCATAATAAAACTCACTTTTATTGCCAACAAGAGCAAACAATGGTTTTCTACCGGCACAATATTTAGTTATTGTCAGATACCAATCTTCGAGATTCTCAAAACTTTGTAAATTTGTAATATCATAAACCAACAAAACAATCTGATAAAGCAAAATAGAAAAAAAAACAATTAATGACAGCCATAAATAAACTGAAATCAATAATATCATTTTACATCGACTCCAAAAATATATTTGTCTAACATGGCACCACCTAATGTTTGTCCACCTACATCATTTACAGCTAATGTAACATTATAGGAACCTTAATTAATAAACGAAATTAAATATTCAATAAAAAGAAAACACGTTAATTTAATTTACGAGTTAGATTAATTCGTTTTAAATAGTAATCGATGCCTAATGTTTGATTATAATCACGATTGAATGCATCTTTGGAAAATCTTTCAGATATTGATGACTAGAATATTTGTTTTTTCAAATAATAATAAAATAAACAAACTGATGAAGTAATCGATTTGATTTTTTACCTTGCCAGAACTGCCATCGCCAACGAGAACAATTTTTACTTGTTTTTCATACGCTTCACCTTCTGAGTCAGACATATTGAGCTTGAGTGAAATTCCTAAAAGCTTTTTCTTTTTTCATAGATTATATTTTTATGTGCGCGAATAAGCAGATTATAAAGGAAAGAAAATACATTTTACCATAAAAAATGTTATTACCTTGGTATCAACCTCGACTTTTCCTGGCGACATCTTTTAATTAATTTATTCGACACAAATAATTCAATTATTTTTAATACTTTGCAAGCGAAACATGTATTAATGAACGAGAGTTCATGTCTAGTTTAATCATAAATGTAGTATTTCAACTATTTTAAATTTTTAAAAGATATTGAACTGTAGTGAAGATAAAGAATCAACACGACAGACACGCTTTTTTTTACACACTAGTCATACACTCAATATTAATTAGAATAAACATGATACTACGATCAGCAACTACTTCTATTCTGTCATGAAGACACTTACTTTAGTAAATAATTTGATTTGATGTGATTTTCCAGCATCTAAAGTAAAAGATATGACTACTATTTGTTTTCTTGAAAAATATATTAGATGATCTGTTTCAGATCATCTTCAGTAGAAACAATATTATTTTTGCAAATGAATAGACCTGTCTGATGCAGAGCTCCAATGCTATGTTGCTAAAACCATTTTGTTTTTCCTCATGTTATGGCATGAACGAATAGGAATCATGGCAAAAACTAGATAGCTTTGCTATGCACTTACGTTAGAAAAGAATAAAGAACGTCAAAGAAAGATAGGAAAGAATGACACTAGTAAACGACAGAAGGTTTTATGAAAAAATAAGTGACGTAAAAGAAATGCGATACATTTTGTCGCCCTATTTTATTCTTATTATTGTATCGGATTCGGCATCGGCTGCTAGAACAAGACTTAAATATCGCGAAAATTATGCATGTCGTTTTTCAAGAAATATGCTCTATTCTTAACACTATTTATAATGGTTCAACTAGAATCGATGTTTTTCAAGATGAAATGAATTCTTTTTCATACTCGCGCTGCATTGTACTCATTGACTAAAATAGCTCTCAAATTGTATATTTAGAACTTATTCGCTTGTTCAATCATCAAATTCCATGACAATTTGAATATTCGAATGCTAAAATCTTTCGCCGTTAAAAGAAACAAATAATATTATCGATCTTGGATTGAAAAACATCTTTTAGCTTTCAATAACAATATGAAAGCGGATAATAGTTACATAAAATCAATATCTTTTAGTTCATCAACGAAACCCCAGCATAGTTATCAGACCAATAAAATCTTCTACTCATTGTTTCTATTAAGATTTCATTATACAGGTCTATGAAACGCAGCTCTTGAAATTTCCAATGATAATCCAACATATAAATTCACGTAAACTGAGAATGAAAGAAGAACCTTTTGCAACATTGTCTATTTATTCACTTGCAATCAAGCAGTAATTGATAGCATAAATTCTTTATTTCAGCTGATTTTCTTTGCTGAATTCTTATAAAACTACTATTTCCGAAAGACAGGCAAAATAAGAACTAGAAAGTTCGATTTTGAGTTTTCCTTTGTGCTCACAATTTTTTTTCTGTTACATTGGAGAAATAGTTGGCATCATTGTGACAACTAAAGGAAACGTTTTCTATTATTTTTCCAATGGAAACTATTAGATAATTGAAGGTTTTTGACAATAGATACAAAAGTAATTCTAGGCAAATTAAGGTGCAATGATAAGAGGACATACAAAACGTGCATTTCAGACGCTTTAATGTTCAAGGAAGCATTCTATTTGAGCTATGCAGAATAGAAGAAATTCTGAACAATGTATGAATTAACTGCAGTTTTGAACAAAGGTGGTATTCAATATATACTCAATTGGTAAGCAAATATCCATTCTAATCAGCTATGCAAAAATCAGTTTCAGAACAAAACCAATAAAGAATTCTAATAAATCTTCTTTTTTCACACTTCACTTTCATAATAGAATCATTCATGTTCAATAGCTTCTTGATTCTGCTAGATTGCTTTTCAACTAGTTGTAGTGTTAGAGCATTGCAAGATACTTATGTGTTCCGTTTCTCAATTAATTTATTGATTAATGGAACTTCCTGTCTGTCTTGTTCATTTTGTGTCCGAACGAACTTGTCAAGAATTACAAATAAAACTATTTGTTAAAATCCAACACGATTAGATATGTCAAGAATTCGTTAGACGATCTTTTTTTGGTCAATTTTTAACTTATTCGATTGATCATTAGCGGTTCTCAAGTGAAACAATATTGATTTCACCTATAAATAACTTAACGTGTTAAATTAGCACAGGAAAATGAATTCATTATGAACATTTTTATCATTCTTTTTTTTCCGATTAATTTCTCAATGGGCGAAAAAATTAATTCAATTAAAACAACTATTTTATTATTAGTCACTGGTTATTCCAGTTTTAAATAATATTTGACAAGCTGATAACCTGGTTCTCACTGTTACTATAATTTCCGTTTTTGATTAAATTCTTGCGTCAGATGGCCTTCTTGTGGCCGACGAGTGAAAATTTGTCAAAAGAAAAAAAGAGTTCATATAATCATTTTCGTCTACAAATTAAACCCATGATGTTATTGTTAGGTGAAATCAGTACTGTTTCACTTGCAAATCTCTACTGATCAATCGAATCAACTGTAAATTAATCACGAAAAAAATAAACTAAAGAGTTCTTGGTGTACCTACCTATGTTAGATTGTAGCAATTAGTTTTATTTGGAATACTTGAAAAGTTCATTTGGACACAAAATGAATGAAGCAGACAGGAATTTTTATTCAGACGCATACTGAATGTGCATTCATATTGACGAGTCAAAATGCAAGTTACGGAAATCCGGGTTAACAGATTCGAAAAAGTATTTAGAATGAATGATTCTATTGTGAAAATGTGGCTAGAAAAAAAGTTTATTGAAATGAAATTTCAACAAATTCACATTACTTTTCTTATAATTTTTGTCTTCTTGTAAACAAGCACATGATGGTGCAAGTGACTATTTTAACCGTATCAAACTGATCGGGAGCTTATAATTTAGCAATTGAATGATACATTAAGAATCGAAAGAAGACTAAATACATGTTTGGGTGCTCCTGTTAGTACAAAGGCTTACATATTTGATATGTGACAAAGTAGCTGTGACCATTATCAAATTCTGCATAAAGTTAAGCATTATTTTCTTGATGAAGGCAAACAAATGTTTTACTTGGGAACTCTTGAGTTTGAGGTTACAGTTCGAAAATCTCAAAAAAAGTCGTGATATAAAAATTAGAAAAGTAGGTCAGTTAAAAAGGCTCCGTTGAGCAGAAGTGGTAACTAGTATCGTTACGATGGTACTTAAGCTTTACAGAAGTGTTCTTCTTTTATAGTACAAAAGTCATTTTGGCTTACTCATGGCATTGCCAGTACTTTTTCTTCCTACTCTCTCTCTCGGTCTCTCCTGTAAAAATTTGTGTTATGCATCCGCTAGAAACATGTTGAAGTCACTCAGTAGACATCTTATGAAACGTCACAATATTCTACTTTTGCATTTTCGTTTTGAGCATGATTTTTCAAACAAGTATGTTTTACTCATTGCATTAATTTATAATTTCCATCGAAGTACTCGTTAACAGTCTGTATTAAAAGTAAACTCATTGTTTAGAATCAAATCTAGATTTTTATTGAATTTACTTTGGAATGCGAAATTTAACTTCTCCCTAAAACACTTCTACTTTCGCGAAAGTAAAAAGAACAATCGCGTTGATAAACATAGAAGTTCACGTTGCAATTTTTATACCGATTCTATGTTTCGTTAGAAACTCAATTGTACGTAGTTTTCTTCATTTTTAGTGATTGATGTATTGTATAGCCACATTTCATGTACCGATGTAGTTTATAGTCAATTAGAATACGAAGCAATTTTCTCATTTTTTTTAAACACGAGTTTTTACTTACTTGAACAGGCAATAATTGAGGGAAAATGTTTTAATATACCTTAATCCAAGCATTGACATGCATTGTTTTTGATTCTAAAAGTATGGTATTTAATGCTGGTTTCGAAGATTAGCATCATTTTAATTACAGTAAAGTACCGTTGAACAGCTTGTCTGTTGTCAAATCTTCTAAGTGCATTACAAATTTTTCATTTTCTTCTAAACGAGAAAAACTAACAATAAACTAGATGGTATTCAAGTTTCACTCGAATACGAAATGCGATGCGAAGCTCGAATCGGATCTTCACGAAAAATCTTCAATTCAGAGAAATCTTGAATACTTTTTATGTCGACATGATGAAATTCATCACTGAGAAAACTCGATTCTTACTTAGCGATATATTCTTAAAGATCGATTTCGATTGATCGATTAATTATCTGTATGATTCGTTATCTATAATCAGCTGCGGACAGACATACGTGTGGCTAGCATTTGCTTATGACGTCATTGTAATTATGGCTAAATGAAGGCCAAGTCTCACTACATCGCATCGACTAACTGAAATATGCGATCCATATTTTACTTTGCCCAAACCGAATTCGACAGGATAAATCGGACAAAATTTGTATGATATAGAGATTTTAATGTTACTAACACCGTTTCAACGAGCATCAAACGAAATTCCGTTCTTGAGATCATCGCATCGCAAGAATACTGAATTTGGATGCGTACGCGACGGACTACAGAAATGCCATGCTTCGCATCACATTAACAACAACTGCTTTTTTATCATCTAGAACGATAGATTTGTCATTTACAAACAAAACCATCAGTCAATTATGTACCTTAAAACAAACAACGATGCTAGTCGAGCATCGATTTAAAACTATAAACAGTAAGTTGTTTTAAATTTAAAACAAATATTGTAACCGTACGTGTTTACATGAACTCAACACGAATATTCCATAATTTGTATCGAAAATTGATTTTTAAAGAGTAGGGAAAGCTTTTTCACTATATGGCAGCGAGTAACTTTCGTTAGATGCAGAATCATACATCGCAGTGCCCTGATAAATCCCGAGGAGGACGTCCTTTGCA